CCCAATTAAAAGTACTCAAGTAAGTCTGGCTTAGAATGATGAAACAGAGGTAGCATACAAAAATATATTTTATTTATACTTTCATTGACAATGTTAACAGTATACTTTATTCTAATTTAAGACCTGATTTGGCACAGGCATCTAGGGAAGCACTGGAAGCGATCAGAAACATAACAAAATCAACTACAAACCAAACTAATAGGAACAATTTCACCACACGCAAATAATATTGAACAAAAGAAAACATAAATCTCCCGTCGCCTCAGTCCAGTCCTCTAGAGCTCCGCCCAATCGGCTAATTCATAAAAAAAAAAAGAAATATAAACCCTGGTTCTGGTTCTGTGGTGCTTTGCTAGATTTCCAGCTGTAGAGGACAACCCCTTAGCCAATTACTGAGAGCATCATAAAACTGTACATGGGTGAGAGCATAATATTGCACATAAGCAACCTGTAATACCACAACAGACAATAAAGTTCCTGCTGACAATAATAAAGCCAAAAGTGACAAAAATCCATTTACCTGTTCAGCAGCTCAACCAGCGCTTATCCAACCAATCCCAGCTGCCCATTGGACTTTACCTGTCACTTGGCGGGCACACCTGGTGCCTATATAGGTTAACAAGCCCAGCAATACTGGGACGGGGTATGGTGCATTCAGGGACCCGACATGGGTGGGAATCCACATCCATTTTATATAAACAGTGTTTACTCTAATGAACCACCCGGTTACAATCTGATGAGGAAAAATAAGCATTCTTTGTAAGTGGGCAAACCTGCAAAATCAGCAAGGGCTCAGATACTTATTTCCCCCGCTGTAGATGTGATACGAGCTTTTATTGTGGTAGTTTTTGATGCTTTATCTCTCTTTTGGAGGTCTTCCATGGCGGAGGCGGTGCATCCTGTCCCGGATCCACGTGCACTTTTAGGCCACGCCCACCCACCTGTGGACAGGTGTGTGTGCAGCCCACACACAGTCAGGTGTGATGGAGCTCTTTATTACGGCTCCTACTTCCACCACACCAGCGCTAAGGACGCGTTTGCTGCGTTCTGCCACCCCCCCGCCCCCCCCCCGCCACCCCCCCGCCCTGCCAGCATGGGGCTAACGTGCCGAACGCCCCCCCCCCCCACTAGCTGAGCGCCTCACGCTGCCGCGCCTCGTTTCTTCTGTCAGCGAGACGCGTTTGGACGCTAAAAACCAGCCGCAGGAATGCTGCAGCCTCCACTGCTCCTGGATCAGACCCCTGACCCCGTTTACCAGCTCAAACCAGCACAAAAACCTGATCCCAGACCAGTGCTGCCCCCCTTTAAGGGTCTGGACCTGTGAAACCGGCACCATGACAACGCAGAAAGTTCTGAAAGACGTCGGAGTGCAGACAGGTGAAAGAAGTCCAGGTTCTCACGTGTTCCCTGAAGTCGTCCTATCAGAGGACAGGATCCGGGTTGCCGGGCAGAGTCCGGGAAAAGACTCAGGTGTGGAGCAGGAAGTGGGTGGAGGTCTGAGGCCTATAGTGAAGGAGGTGAAGTGGGATGAAGAAGGGATGACGTGGGAGGTGTACGGGGCCTCGGTGGACCCCCAGGAGCTGGGTTCTGCCATCCAGAAACACCTGGAGCTGCAGATCAAAGAGACCAACAGGAAACTGTCCCAGAAAAACCCCCAAAACACGACTCAGCAGAAAAACACGAGTCAGCAGAAAAACACCACTCAGCAGAACAGGGAGAACAGCCACCAGAGAAGAAGAAAGATCCGACCTCCGGCCTGCTGCAGAACCACAGCAGCAGACTGACCCGGGTCAGAACCACTGACCCGGGACAAAGAGGACTAAACCGGGACAGAGAGGACTGACCCGGGACAGAGGGACTGACCCGGGACTGACCCGGGTCAGAACCACTGAGTTTAGAGACCCGGGTCTCTA